GGGGCTCCAACCCTCCCAGTCGCTGGTGACCCGCCGCTGGCCCGCCACCATGTCCTTGTCCAGGGCGATCTCGAGCGAGGTGCGTAGCACACGCGCCTTCAGCCCGCCCTCCAGCACCTGCCGCAGCTGGGCCGCGGCCTTGCCCCCGCCGCGCGAGCCGTAGGTGACCAGCAGGACCGGCTTGGCCCGCCACTCGTGGTAGAGCCAGTCGATCGCGTTCTTGAGCACGGCCGGGTAGCCCCAGTTGAACTGGGGCGTGACGATGACCACGACGTCCAACGAGGCCAGCCGGCGGCTCCATTGGCGCACCGCGTCGTGGGCGTAGGCGTCGGGTGTCGTGATTTGCGCCGGGAGGGTGTCGCCATCGAAGAAGGGGAGGGCGAGGGCACCGAGGTCGATGGTGGTCACGACGGGCGCAGTTGTGGAGGTGGAGGAGGTGGTGGGCGATGAAGAGGAGGAGAGGATGCGGCGTAGGCAGGGTTGGAGCCAGGAGGCGATGCCAGCTCCGTTGCCGCTCGGGCGAACGCTGCCGGTGAGGATGCCCACCGTCATGGTGGTGGATGACATTGGGGTGAGCGAGTGTTACTTCTTCTCTTCCCCTTCTGAATATTATGCGGCCGGACAAATCCAGAAAAAAACCGCTCGGGGGCTGCGCATAAAATAAAATGATCCGCTTCGTGTGTGGCGATCGAAGCCGCCAGTCGACTGACATGCCGGACGTAGACCGCCGGTAGTCCCTCTCCCTTGGCCTCTTCGCCTTTTCGTCTCACAACCCGTCACACCGCGCTTACCCGCCAGCTTTGCCGAGCCCCCGCGTGAAAGAGCTGCCGCCCGCTGTGACTCCACAACCACCCCTGCTACACAACGAAAAAACACCTAAATATCAAATCAAATAATTTTGTGGTTGGTGGGTGCGGAATTGTTGGGAGAAAGGGCGCGGGGATTGGCTGGCCAATGGCAAAACAGCGACAAAAAATACTCTTTATCACAACAGGCCGTGGATGATGTACGGCAGGACACGCTCGTAGTGCTCATTGAACACTGTGAGGATCTTGCGAGGGGTGGAGGGCTTGCCAGACACGGACATGGCTAGGTACTGGTGGTAGAGGTACAGTCCGGAGCAGGGGTAGACCACCTTGGGATCGCAGGACCTGGAGAGCCACCCCTTGTCAATCAGCACGCCGAGGTGGGCGTGCGACAGGCGTTCAGACGCCGAGCGGCTTGTGTTGCACTTGTTGATCAGGTCGTGCAGCTTACCTGGGGTAACTACGGTTACCCAAGGGAAGCGGGGAACACTTCCGTGTTGTTTTAACTTCTTTATTTTTTCTCGGTGAGAAATAAAAAATATAAATAGTTAAAACAATCCCCGTATTAGTTGTCCTTTTCTTCTCTGAGTTGAACACATCGAGCGGACTAGCCGTGTGTTTCACTTCATTTAGGCAGGATGTCTTCAACGTCCTCCTCTACGAGCAGCCCTCAGCAGGGCTCACCGGCTGGCTCACCGGACAAAGCAGACCGAATCCTTCAGCTGCTGGAAACCATCACAGAGCAGGTCTTGTCGAACTCCTCAACTTCAAAGGATTCCAAACCCACCCAATCCACGCAACCTGAACCTGTCACCTCACCCTCAACAATCAAGGGCAAGTCAAGCTCCAGCTCCGCCCCAGCTACCAAATCTCCATCATCCTCATACAACAAAGACAAACCCAAGTCATGGCCCTCGACGATCAAGGGCAAGTCAAGCTCCAGCTCCACCCCGGCTACTGAATCTCTGTCATCCTTGGATGACAAAGACAAACCCAAGTCAGGGCCTGATGAGCCTGCCCCTCTGTCATCTGGGTCTTCTGCGTCGCCTCTCTTCAACATCAGTGCCCTCAATCTGAAGGTGGAGTGGCTCCAAGAGGCCTACAAGGCTCTTGAGCGCTCCACAGCACAAGTTTCCATTGGTACTCACTGCTCCTTCCCAAAAAACAAGGGTGCCGGGTTTTTGAAAGAGGACCTCATGCACGTCACTGCCCTCTGCAAGCACTTCAAGGCGCTACGCTCTACGCTCCACCTCTGTGTCGTGATGGCTAGCCTGCACAGGGAACTTGCCAGTGGCCTCTATGGGGTCACTGTCACAGTTCTCTATGCGATGCGGCTCCAACTAGACGCCCATGACAAGATCTACATTCACTGCAGGTACAGTGAAGATACCCTCACACATTTCAACATCCTCAGTGACTCCACCCTTGTCAGTGAACGCCAAGCTCGTCTTCTTGACACTGTCACACTGGCCTTGGCCGCCGTGACCAACCGCAGCAGGCTCTGAGACTCCACCAACTGAGGTGGTCGCAATTGGAAGTCCAAGAGCAGCCCTCCAGCTGCCATCCAGGCCACCAAGGCGGCCTTCTTGAAGAACAAACCTAAAGGGTTCGGTGCACCCTTGAGCGCCAAGAGTGATTAGTGTCCCTATCGCTGGGGCCTCCCCCCCTTCCCCTCCCCCTTCCCCTCCCCCTCCACAATGTTCCTTGTCTTTGAGTCCTCTGCAACTTCCGCCCCAGAGGCTGGGGTTCAGGTTCTGGAACACCTCCTTCATCATGGCATCTTGGTTATGGGGCGACTGCCTGGTGAGCAGTACCCACTTGACAAGGTGAATGTTGCTCCTGGCAATGAAGAAGAGTGCATTGGCCAGGGACTTGTGGCGGCCCTCCATGATGTTGTGGAAGTCCTGCTTGGTCACGCCCTGTGAGACGTGGAACTGTGGGTACTTGGTACCATTGAGGTTGGGGGCAGAAGGCAGGAGGGGGTACTCAGCTGCTATGTTGGGGTAATGAAGGAGATTCTTGGAGATGAGGAGAGGAAGCATCAAGGCGCTGCCACAGATGAGCAAGTAGGTCCTGCCACAGGAGCTACTCCCAAGCATAGTGAGCTCATGGAGGATGTCAAGGTGAGCCCCCTTGTCATCATCCAATGTGTAGAGTGCATCAACCTCATTGGAGACCACAAGGGCATGGAGACTGTTGGCCTCCAGAACAGCAAGGCAGCTTTCCAGATTGGGGTCAGCCCAGAGGCCTCACTTGTTCAGGGCCTCAGCAAGCTGCTGTGAAGGCCTCTGGTAGGTTCCAGACACACATGAGGTCCCCAGGTACTTGGCATAGATCATAACAATCATTGGGAAGATCCTGTCAATGGTGCACACCACATCACACAGCACTTGCATCTTGCCAATGCCCTTCTCACCATGGGTGAGTGTGGAGGTCGACCCACACACACCAGTGAATTGCCCAGATGTGAGTTGGCTGACCTTGCCCTCAATTAGATCCAGCAGAAGCCCTTTCACAGTGGTGTGGATGAATGGGTGGTCGCCATGCAAGGAACAATCATCTTTTATAACATCAATGAGGCTGCAGGTGTCAAGCATGGAGAGGGGGCAGGTTGCAAGCCAGTAGAGGCAGGAGCACATCTTGGGGGGCAGGCAGGCAGTGAGCCAGCAGAGGCGGGAGCACATCTTGGGGGTGGTTGAAGGATTTGATACACAAAAAAACACAAAAAAAGCTCTTTTCTGTCCCCCCCCACATTGGAAGGGGAGTAAGGGAGTGGGGTGGAGTGGAGCAGACAAGAAGGGGAGAGGCAAGCGGAAGGGGAGTAAGGGAGTGGGGTGGAGTGGAGCTGGGTGGGCAGGGTTGGTTGTTTGCTGGGGGCAGCTGTTGTTGTAGGTCATCTGCTCTGGTGAAGGAGGGGGTTGTTGGGTCAAGATGGGTGGGCCAGGCCAGGGGTGGAGGTGGTAGGGAGTAGGGAGAGTGGGAGGGTTGAGGGAGAGATGAGGTGTGAGGGATGGTGCTGGGATCCTATGGTGGGTCAATGGAGGTGAGTATGAGCACATGGAGATGGGTGGCTTCCTTGTTGAAGATGGAGTGGAGTAGGGAGGGGATGGTTGTTGCTGGGACAGAGTTGTTGAAGGTCTGGGTGTTTCTACACTTCCAGATCACCCAGGCAAGAAGGACCTGAGAGGTCCACTGGGCTGATGGCTGGAGCAGTTGGGGGAGGAGTTGGGGGCCAGTTGTTGCAGCAGAGAGGGCTGCGCAGGTAATGATGAAGAGGTGTTCAAGGGTCTCTGGCTGGCCACACCAGGCACATGGGGTCTGAGTGGAGTGCCTGGCATTGACTGGGAGGACTCACAGATGAAGGAGTGGATTGCTGGGTGGAGCTTGGCTCTGCCCACAATGGTCAGGAGCCTGTGGTAGTCAGCAGAGTAGGTGGAGGCCCAGTGGGCTTGGCCCTTGGAGAGGGGAAGGGGCCAGTCAGTGAGGAGGATCTGTAGTGTCTTGGAGAGGGAGTAGGGGGGTGATGGGTCTGGAGGGAGCTTGACGTTGGAGGGTGTGAAGGCTTGATGACCTTGAGCCATGCATCTTTCCAGAGGGCTGCTGGGTGGGAGAGGGCTGTCCAGGTCCAGGGTTGGAGGGGGGTGATCAGAGTAGGGCCTGGGGGTGTGGGGAGCAGAGTAGGAGGCTGGCATGTTGGACGTTGATGGTGTAGTGGAGCAGGGTGAGGTGAAGTTGCATGAGAGGGTGTGTGAGGTGGGTGTTGGAGATGATGGGGGGTAGGGCTTTGAGGGGTTGAAGGGGTGGTTGGGTGAGAAGAGGAACCATCTCTCTGCCTTCTCAGCTGGGGAGGCTGGGGCATGCTGCCAGTTGGAAGAGGAGAGATGGGAAGAGGGCTGGGTGATGGTTCTCTGGTGGAAGGTTGCTGATAGGAGAGCTATTTCTTGGTTAGAGAGTGAAGGGGAGCTTGGAGGGGGTCCCTTACCTGGGTTTGGGCCAGGAGCATGGACAAGGGAGCAGGGGTCCTTGCGGCTGGGGCTTCCAGTGTGGCTGCTGAGGGAGGGGCTGGGGCCAACTTTGTGGGTTGCAGCAGGTCTGAGGCTGGGGTCAGCAGTCTTGGGAGGGCTGAGCCCTGAGCAAAGGGGCAGTGGGAGACAGAGTGGCCTTTGCATCCACACAATTCACAGTGAAACTTGTGGTCATTTGAAATGAGAGGTCCAGTCATTTTGAAAAGTGATTTTGTTTGTGAGTTTAAGCTCATAAAAATGGTTTTGATAACACAAAAATGGTTTTACTTTAACAATAACATCACAAAATTTGGATGCATCTTGAGATATGGCAGATCAAAATTCCATCATAATGAGAGATGTGATACTGTAACTGGGCCAGCAGTCAAAGTCAAATTAGTTTGGTGTGGTTGGCATAATGTGAGGATTACTGGGGTAGCCAGTGTTCTTTATTTTATTGGCATGGTGGCAATTTGTCATTGAGCACACACCTAGAGGAGGAAGCTTTTTTTGATGAATTGGGAAGTGAACAAAGGAGTTTATTTTAAAAGTTGGAAAGATTGGAAAGACAGAGTTTAGTATTCACTCCTATCCACATCAGAACCAGAGTGGAAAGGGGAAAGTGACCCAAGGTCAGTCAGTTGGTCAATGTCAGAGTTGTGGCTTCTGTCCCTGCTCTGGCTCCTGCTCTGGCTCCTGCTCTTGTGGCACTTGTGTTGCAATCCACAGCTGTGCTTGTGGCAGTTGTTGTGGGCACTGCTGTGTCTGTGGGTGTGGGTGTTGGTATCCTCATGATCTCAATGCTTTCTCTTGTGCAATGGTTCCAAGCAAGGGGTTGTGGAGAGCTGGGACTGCTGTTGATTTTGAGAGTCAGTGATATATTTCATCACATACACATACACAACTAAAAAAGGGCATGGGTGAATGAAAACCTGTGTAGGGGTGCTAGGAGCTGATGCCATGGAAGAGCGGGGTGAAGGTCAAGAAGAAGTTGAGGTACTGGATGAGGTGAGTTGATGCGCCACTGTCCAGGCTGCTGTAGTCCAGGATGCAATGTCAGATGGGTTGGAGTGAATGAGGATGCTGTCAATAGCACTTGCAATGATGTTGGTCTCAGTTTTGTTTGGTTGCACCAAAGCTCTGTTGATGTGGTAGCTGAAGTTGAGATGGAAGCAGGCATGAAGTGGAGTAGCACGAAGTGGAGTGTAGTCAAGAACGCTTTGTGCTTTGGTGCTTGAGGCGTAGGCAGTGAGGACAAGCTGATAGAAGACATGACCTATTGTTGGTAGGAAAGCAGGTGAGAAGAGCATGTGCCACCAAGTTACATGAACAAAATACATACTCAGTTGATGCACTTGAGGAGCAATGTGGACCCACTTTGGGTTCCACCTCTTGATGAGGGAGGGCTTCTTGTAGGCCATGAGCTTGGGAATCTTGGTGATGTCCTGGATCAGCAGTGACTCTGGATTGAAGGTATAGGACTTGTTCACTTGACCAATGAAGATGGTGTAAAGGCCTGCATGAGTATCACATACATGTACACAATGAGTTGTCAGCATATTTCTAAAAAGGAGTAAGCTGTGGAAGGGGTAAAGAAGAGCAATAAGTCATCACATGCACATACACAATGGAATGTACCATTGTGTTGGACCCCACCAGCGCTCTTGGAGCGGATGTTGGGGATGCTCCCTGAGATGAGATGCAGAAGCTGCCAGGGGCTATTCTCATTGGCAAGGAGGTTGAGAAGAGCCGCCATTTCCAGCACATTGGTTGTCAGGACAGCAGCAAAGCAGTCTGTGTGGTGAGACAGGTTAGTAATCAAACACATGAGCCTTGATAGCAGTCACCAACTGATGAGTGCCACTCTTTGTCATTCAGTCAATGTCAATTGTCACAGCATTCATCTTCATGTGATCCACACAGAGGACACCATAACACTTGAGCAGGGCCTCCTCTGGAGGCATGGAGAGCTCCTCTTCTGTGGGCTAGGAGGAGATGAATTAGCAAACATTCTATTGTGTACATGTACATGATAGAACGTCCTGCAGTTGTGGTGCATAATTGGCTTCACAAACAGCATGAACAGCATACCTCCTTCAGGAGCTTCAAAAGCTCCTCATCAGTCACCATGGCAGTTGGCAGGGTTACTTGCTCCTCTCTGGCAGATGTTGTTTGGGCTGTTGCATCAACCTGAAGAAAGTACAGGACTGGTGAGATTTATAAAGGACCTCATTTCATTCAAAATCAAACACACTTACCTCTGGTGCTCCAAGCAAATCTTGTGACATCTCCATGGTGGAGCTGGCTCCAGTGGTGCTATTTTTTTGGCTTCTTGCTCTTGAGTCTCAGGTATGGTCTGCTGAGAGTCAAGAACAAGCTTCATTGATGAGAATATATCAGTTGTTCTATCACATACACATACACAATAAATTACTTATATAAAATGGTGGTTATAATTGATTATAAGAGTCAATATTGTTGAATAGAATGTAAATATGGAGTATAATGAAACAACTGTTATTATGATGAGACAACACCACAAAATGAAAGGATGGCATAAATTAGTTTTATTGTATATTTAAAATGATATTTCATCACATACACATACACAATGAAATTGTGTCTATAAATGCTAATAAGATTTCATCACATACACATACATGATGGGATGGTGCATACCAATTCAGTCAGTTTTGCCTTGTTCTTCTCCACCTCTGCCACACTTGCAAAGTAATTCTGAAGCAGAAGACACATGATTTGATTAAATCACACTACTTTCATTAAACAAACTGTGCTATTGATGTACCATGCACATGTTTTGAAGTTCACCAAGGCTCTTCTTCTTGAGGTTGCTCTCCTTCCACTTCTTCCACTCTTGGCAAGCTCAGCTGTGTTGTGGCAGGTCATTACCATGGACAGAATGCCACTTGCAGACTGGGTAAGGTTGTCACTCATGTTGTTGTGTGTAGGTTGGAAAAGAATAATGACCATTGTACCATGTTCAGCCTTAAAAGGACTACACTCAACCAATGAGCTTTTTTGCAGACATTTCTTAAAAAGTGTTAGGCTCAAGGTACTTGAGATTCCTTTATCCCTCATTCTGGATGTGTGCAGCAATGATACTGGTCAGCTGGCTACATCCAGCCAGCAGATCATGGATTCAGTGGACCGCTGTACACCACAATGTCATAAATGACCATATGGAATTTTTGTTGTGGTAAAATCATGATGTGTGAAATGGAGTGGAATTGAAGGGGCAGTCAGTGTGGCAGAAGAGAACAACAAAGAAGCCACTGATGTGAGGAGGTGCTGGGTGGTCCTTGACATGCATGTAGATCAAGACCTGCATCAGGAGAAGAGAAAAAATCAGTCATGCTAATCCAAAGCGCATTGGATTGTCCATGGGCACTTGAACAAGGAGGCAGACACACAAAAAAAGCAACATGAAAAAACAAGTGTAATAAAATTAACAATAAAAAAGAAATACCTGATCTGACACGTGTTGGATTGGCAGGATGCACAGGAACAGGAAAGTGGAAATGTGACAAATATAAAATAAGAAATAGAATAAAATAGAAAGTAAAAAAATAACTATGTGATCTGATGCATGTTGGATTGGGTGCATGCACAAAAAAGAGAATGTGGAACTGGTTGCTTTTTGAGCTCAAGGTGGTGTTGAATCATTCATGAGACTGTGGTCTGAAGAGCACTAGCAAATCTCTCCACTCATGCTGAAGTGGCCTTCTTGGCTGCCTTCTTCTTCTCAAGTGCCTCAGCCTTCTTGGCTGGGGTCTTCTTCAATTTAGTAGGGATGGGGGGAGGAGTTGCAGGCACTGCACAATATAAGTCAGCTACAAGAATGAGAAGTCAAGGTGATTGTGAGCATGGAGTACCAGATGTTGGTGCTGTAATCTGCAGGGTAGGAGTTGGGGTGAGCTGTGAACTTGCAGCAGCAGGCGCAGTTGCCTCAAGTGATGAGGACACCCCAAAGAGATCCTGACTCTGTGTGCCCTCATCCTCCACATTCTTTTCCTCTTCAAGTTGTTCCTCTGCAAGCAGCTCAACTTTAGAAGGAAACAACAGTACAGCACTCCAGCAGGGACAGACATGGTACCAAATCTGTGTCATGAATGTCATACTCATAGGTTGCAAGGCTGGAAGAGGTGGAGATGCTCTGCCCAGCCTTCCACAGCTCCCATTCCTCACACAGGGCCAAGAGACCACACACCGCTCCTCATCCTCAATCTGCATTCCAGTTGAGACTTTGGCCTCAGGGATGTGTTGAAGTGCAGGGTGCTGATGGTAGAAGTCTGCCACTTTGAGGTAGATATCTTGTGGAGGCAGCTGGAGGTGCTTGAGCTGCGCCACCTTTTTCATGAGAGAGGCAGCAGCCCCAGGATGGCTTAGATGGCACTCTGCTTCATTGGTGTTGGCAATGGCCTTCTTGATGGCCAGAGTTTGTTCATGCACTGTGTTCCAGTGCTTGATGAGCTCCTCCAAGTACTTGCCTGATTGCACAATGAACTTGTGGTCATTTGAAATGAGAGGTCACAAATGACTGTGGAATTTATGTTGTGCTAAAATTGTGTGAGATTTGACATTTTTTATTTACAGGGCAGTTTTGAAGATATGGATCTGCATGTGTGATTTTGACATGCTAGACCACTGCTGATAAGTGATATTGAGGGACTTGAGATGAAACTGATTTCATAAAAACTTGGAATTTGTGGAGTTAAAAGTGATTTTATCAGTGTGGAATGGAGTGGAACTTTAACTTCAGGAATAGTGCTCCAATTCAGCACAAATGTGAAGAATGAAGTTCAGTGCATGTGTGCAACTGACTGAATATGGTGTGAGGTTGAACATGAACTGGATACATGTATGCAATAGAATGTTTGCTAATTTATCTCCTCCTTGCCCCACAGATTTGACATTCTTGCTTTATAGGGCAGTTTTGAAGATTTGGAACTGAATCTGTGATATTGTCACCCCATCAGCCATGGCCAACAACAAGGAACTGTTGATGCTCCTGAAGGAGGTAACTGCCCCATTGCATACATGCTATTATCAAAGCCCATTATGCTTTGAAACTGCAGGACATTCTTTTGTGTACATGTACACAATAGAATGTTTGCTAATTTATCTCCTAGCCATGATCATGTGAAGATGTTCCACAATGCTGCAACAATATGATATCAACTGAATGACCAAGAGCAGCTCCAGGCCACCCTCATACTGAGCAGCCACCTCCTCAGGAGGCCAAGAAGTAAGAGATGAAGGGCACTCTCCACACTGAGATGTGACAAACAGCCCCGCTGAATTGCTTGTGTAAAGAATAAAAATTGACTTTTTGTCCAGTTAAATCCCAGCAGCCGTGATTTTTCCTTTTATGGTTTCTGTGTGCCAGCCGTTCAGGAAAGTACCGAAAAAAATGTGCTTAGTCATCGCGTACGTGTACGCGATAAAGTAAGTGTACCAAAACATGTACATGATAGAAATTGGTCATTCCAGACCTTGACTGATGGCCCAGTTACAGCATCATATCTCTCATTATGATGGTATTTTAATCTGCCATTTCTCAAGATGCTCCCAATTTTGTCTTGCTATTCTTAAATTAAAACCATTTTTGTGTTATCAAAACTATTTTTATGAGCTTAAACTCACAAACAAAATCACTTTTCAAAATGACTGGACCTCTCATTTCAAATGACCACAAGTTCTTGGCTTGATGATCTGGAAATGTTCCCATTCCTTGAGGCCAAGCATGCACCAAATGATAAGTCAATGGTTGCAGTCAACAGCCTCTGTCATACCAAGGGAAGTTGGTGTAAGCAAGATGTTGAAACCTAACAAAACTACAACTTACCAAATTCATTGGTGTTGTTTGGGTCAACACACTCATCTTTGTTGAGATAGTGAATGAGGAAGCTGTGGCTGTGGAAGATTCCCAATTCCTTCACACTCTGGAAGAGGTGCTTCAACCCATGTATGTCAACAGGGCGATAACAATCTGCATAAAACAGAATTGGAGGAGACATGTCAGTATTGCAATAAATGCACAAAAAGACCATCTGACACACATCAGATGAGTGGGATGAATCAGAACATAATGACTTGGGCATACCAAACATGGTTGCATTGGCAAGGTTGATTAAGCCCTTGCTGTCCTCAATCCACTGTTGGTGCAGTTCAGTGGGCAGCACATCAGCTCCTAACACCTTGGGGTTGCTGGTATCCAAACAAGCAGTGCTATAAAGGTGCAGACTGGCCAGGTCAGGCCGCTGCTGAAGGCTACGCCAGTGAGGGATGACCTGAGGTATGAGTGTCTCTGCACTAAAGGACACAGGTCAATATCCTCAAAAATGCACAAGAAGACCATCCAATGCATGTTGGATGATAAGCATGTACAGATAAAAGGGACAAAAGAAGATGCTGGAGTGAAGATCAGTAGAGAAATGGCAATCCAACACACATCAGATTGTAACCATGCACAAAAATCCCAAAAACATCAAAACCATACTTAAAAATGGACATACCAACAGGTCAATGCAGATGAAAGATATGTAATGCGAATTAAAATTATAAATATTTTGTGCAGAGTTCACAAGGATGCACAGATGGATGCACATTGTGCACACAGAGAACTTGGAACATTTCTGCTATTACTGACACAACGTGTACAATAAAATGATCCTAAAATTGTGCAAATTGCACATCTGATGCATGTTGGATAGTGAGGGTGTACAAAAAAATGTATGAATAAAGCAAGAACATACCAAGTTTGGCAAAGGTAAGGTTGAGGAAGTAGCTGGCCTTCTCCACAATGCTAAGTGTTGCCTCAGGAAGAGCAACTGGTTGTCTCTTGGTGAGGTGGACCTTCTTGACTGGATGCACATTGACACATTCCTTACCCTTTGCCCCAACTTCCTCCTCCTTGAGCACCTTGTCTTCTCCCTCCTCCTTCTCCTCCTCCTCCTCCTTCTCAAGACCACTCCACTTCCATCCCTTCCTCCTATAAACCTAACTCTCCTCCTCCAGCTCCTCCTCCAGCTCCTCCAGCTTCTCCTCCAGCTTCTCACTAGGATAGGCTACAAAAACAGCAGAGCCATCACACTGCTTTTTAAATACTACTGAAGAAAGTCTACAGATATTCTTGATTGGCTGCTTTATTATTGCAGCCTCCTTAAGTACAACTTGAAATCTTGAGTGCTTCCTGGCAGTAATTTGGCAATTAAATCTCCTAAAGAT